TACAGGAGTCAGTCGTGGCCTCTCAGCGGTGAACGCTGTGTCGAAGTACCTCGTGTCCAGAGTGTGGTCCAGGGCTGGCTTGAAAGGTGGTTCTAACTGCCTCCTTTCCAACCTATCCCACTGCAACGGCTGGGGAAACGAACACCATCAGTTATTCAATTGATTGACAATGCTTGCGTGGAACTTTATCTGTTTTCATCAACATATTGACAACCAATCAGGTAGAATTACAATTTACATAGAGATTACAACTCTAATTTTCATATTTTATATTAGTTACATTTGCAATCTTTTTTAACTGAATCTAATTACTAATCTCATTACTAATGTGGAATCTGATTGAACTTAAAATTTTAGCAATCATCATGTTCAATCAACGATACTATTTCTTAATCTAATTCTTGATATTCTTCAATAAAATGAAATTATGAATTAAATTGCCGGCTTACTGCACAGAGTTGTAAAGATCATCAATATGTTAACGGGGATTTGTTTTGCAAAGTTAATTACTTCAAAGAAGGAGTGCATCGCGATTTCATGACCAGCCAGCCTTTTGCCAGAGTCCTTCTCCAGAAGGGCGATCAATATGTCGCTGGAATCTTGGCTCAGGTAACGAGGTATAAACGGCCTTTCGTTGCATATACTCCAAAATAGCTCATCTTCGTCGCAGCCGGAGAATGGCGACTGTCCCGTGAGCATCTCGTACAGAAGCACGCCGTACGACCACCAGTCCACCGCCTGATTGTATTTCAGTCCCTTTATGATCTGCAATGCGGAAACAGAAGTTGCCTTGCGGTTAATTTAAAGAGACCAACGAATCGCGGCTGTTTGAGCGTCGCTTTTAGTGTCCTAATTTTGGAACCCCGGACCTTCCTCGAGTAACATTAATTCGAATTGAATTGAACAATTCGCTCTGATGATTCCACTGAGTCGTCCCATAAGTATGTCTGATTTCTTTTTTTTTTTTTTTTTGAGGGTGTAAAATTAAACGAAGAAAATTTAATGCAATATTGTGAAATACGAGGAAAGTCACTTGACTGCATTAGCTGTGAGATGATTCAGTATTAGACGAAGAATTTATTTTATTAGGTTTGTAGCTATCTTTTCTTTACCTCGGGGGCCATGTAATCAGGCGTGCCACAGAAGGTGTCGGCGGTTCTGTCGAGGAAAATTTGCAGTTTACACATGCCGAAATCGGCTATTCTGATGTGCCCCTCGAAGTCCAGCAGCACATTGTCCAACTTCAAGTCTCTGTACACTATCCCCTTCTTGTGCAGGAAGTTCAAGCCGGACCAGATCTCCGCCGCGTAGAACCGAGCTCTCGGCTCCGGGAAACGGCCCGACTTTTGAATATGGAACATCAAGTCGCCGCCGTTCAGGTACTCCATCACGAAGAACAAATGAGAATCCGTCTGGAAGGTGCAAAACAGGTGACAGAGATACGGATGCCTCGTGGCTAGGGTCAAGACCTTTCTCTCGATCAAAGTACATTCCACGTCGTCGTCTTCGAGAACCACGTCCTTCTTCAAGCATTTTATCGCGTACACGCACTCGGTGCCTCGTAGTTCCGCCAGCAACACCTTGCCGAAGCTGCCTTTTCCTAGAACCTGGAGAAGAACCAACGTACATTAACTCTTTTGGGGAGGGAAAACCTTGGGTATCAAAATTAAAATTTTAATTAAATTCCAATCTGTTCCAGGTGTTTTCCAGTTTTTTCCAGTGAAGATCAATGCATTATTGGGAAAGATATAATTTGAAAACTGGGAGAATTAAGATTCATCAGAATTATTAGACTCACATGGAATTCAAATTTCAAAGTTCAGTGAAGATCAATTATAAGATTGGGTATGAGAATCTGCCAGATGTAGTTTAACTATCCAGACTTTAATTCTCAAATGTTTCAAGGTATCACGAAGCCGACCTAATCAGGAATTAGAACTATGATCCACGAGAGGTAATCGCTTTAAACCGGCTGTGGTACTCAAAAGTGAGGCAAGGTTCTGTTACCAGATGGAAATCCAGGTCTGGTGGAGTGAAAATGGCACACGGTGGGAAAGTTCACGCGTCTAAAGCGAGAGTGTCGCACGTGAGAGTACTTCGGACTCGTTAAAAATAATCTGTTGCGTGCAGCTAATTCGGGTGGGGTCTATTTGCGTGGCGGTCCTTTGCAAAATCAAGTCCGTTTAAAAACTTTCTCTCCTATAAATCTCCTCTTGGCGACTCGGCAAATCGTAAAAATCTGTCGCCCTCCTCCTGTCGTCTTGTGCGCGAGTCTTAGAAAGCTGTTCACTTTCGATGGGAGCTTCAAGCTTTTTGTTGACCGCGTTGGATCGATCGTAAGATAGAGGATCAAACGTGCCTGGATTAATTCGTGCCTCATAAATCAAACCGGGTTCACGTGACGCAGATATACACGTGGGTTGGCTTTCGTTCTGACGAGCCAAGGTGGCTCATAAATCCTCGGAAAACTCGGAGTCAAACTACAAACAAGTCAGAGGGAAGTTGATCAAACGGACAATTCTCTGAAGCTCTTCTTGTTTCAAGCTACACGCATATTTCAATCCTCCAAAATTCCATAAAGTTATATTTGGAATCTAAACAGTTGTGCTGTTGTTTCAGATTTCTAGAGGAGAATGTTGATGCAAGCTCTTCTGATGGATCGCCCGAAGATGCAGACGAAGATCTCCATCATCTCGGAGTGAATAATTCGAGCGTTCCGTCAGCGAAATTTTCAATTTTGGCAGACACTCGAGAGTTGCACGTGCCGCGTAATACGACGGTCGTGGCTAAAATCTGTTAACGATCGCTCACGACGATGAATAATCTTGCGCAGCGCGAAAACTTACTTTTAGGAAATTGAAGTCCGTCACCGTGTACTTCTTGAACCTTGGAAGATTGGTGGCCGGTGGTGTGATCCTCCCACTGGGGAAATGATCCGACGAGTCTGAGTTTCTCTGAGCGTCCGACGATTGCGAGGGTGCTACAAAGTCAAAATAAAAACAATTTACCGGACGATCTATCGATCAAATCAATTAGATTGTGTAATAAGTTCGC